CTGGAATGATGCTGCTGGGATGATTCTGGGATGATGCTGGTGGGATGCTGGTGGGATGGTGCTGGTAGGAGGATGCTGGGATGATGCTGGTGGAGCATGATGCTGGTGGGATACTGGTGGGATGGCACTGGTAGGAGGATGCTGGGATGATGCTGGTGGAGCAGTGCTGGTGGGGTGGTACTAATGGGATGCTGCTGCTGCTGCGACGCTGCTGGGAACATGGGCGCCGCGTGGGCCCATCCGGCAGCACCCATGGGTGTTCCCCACACAGCAGGGGCCGAGAAGCCAAGCGAGGCAGAGAAACGAGACCCATCGCGTCCCCGTGCCCCTGCCCTGGCTCTCTCCAAGCCCAAGATGCTGGTGATCAGCGGCGGGGACGGATACGAGGATTTCCGCCTGACCAGCAGCAGCGAGACGGTGGGAAGGGACGACAGCACCAACCACCTCCTCCTCTGGAGAGCGTGAACAGCCACAGCCCCCCAGGGCCAGCCCGGCGAGGAAGGGGGGTGCTGGCCCCCCTGTATGCAGAGGATGGGGGTCCTGGACCCCCCTCCCTGCCACCCCCAGCCCCAGCGCCGCTCATCTCCAACCCGGCTGCTCTCTGTGTGCTCGGGGTTGGGGGGGGGGATGAGCCCCGGTGTCCCCCCACTGTCCTGTCCCCCCCCCAACCCGGCCACCACATGGGACTGGGGAGGGTGAGGGGTGGGGGGGGGCTGTGGGACACGAACCGATTTGGGGGTGTGGAGAAGATGGGGAGGGGAATGGGGAAGGCGCTAGCGAAGGAGGAAGGCGTTAAGGAGCATCCCTGGGGACCGGCCGGAGGATGCTGTGTACAGCCAGGAGCCTGCCTTGCTCTCCGGTTGTGTGTGTGCCTGCTTTTGGGGGGGGGGGGGGGGAGCAGGGGGTCACAGCCCTGTCACACACACTCCCCCCTTCCCCTCTTTTCCCCTGGGACCCCCGGCCACGCCATGGGACCATCCCAGGGATGATGTGCCCGTGGTGTCCCCCTCGGCCCGGGCCTCCCGCTGACCCGCTCGCTCCATCGCAGCACCCAGATAGCTCTGTTTGTCTGTTTGTTTGTTTTAAATATATATATTATATATATAAACATCCTCGTTTATTGGGGGGGGGGTCAGGGGCATTGTCACGGTGCTGCTGCTCCCTCTGCTTTGGAGATGGGGGGGTAAAACCCTCCTGGTGCATTGGCCCGACGTAGAGCTGGACCGCACTGATGGAGCTGGGCCGTGCAGGGAGGGGAGGACTGATGGAGGGGGGGAATTGAGGGCTCTGTGATGCCCATGGGGCTTGGCAGCTTTGGGGCGGGATGAAGGCGCTGGTATGGATATGAGGACAAGGATCTTCTTCACATCCCTGTGCCAGACAGCCGGGGTGCTTCTCTGCACCCCTAAATCGTGATGGCAGAAGTTGGGACCCTAAAACCAAGACTTTTTTGGGTCAAAATTCACCCCATTTCTCCTTTTTTCCTCCCGTTTTCCCACTTTCGGTCCAGGTGGGGCCCAGCCCTCTTGGCCCCATGGGAGAAGTGACCCCATCCCCAGGAAACCCTGAGTGAGTGCCAGGGATGCTGCTGTCCCATGCCCCTCTCTCCATGCAGGATGGAGTTAACACTGGGATGGTGAGGACGTTTTGGGAAGGAGGGAGCAGGATTTTGGTCACTTGGGGGCTTTTTGGCACTAAAGGTCACCCGTGTCAGAATGAAGTCTCGTCCTTTTCCTTGCGGGGTGAGTTATTCCCTCCTGGATAACTCCCAAGGGGGGGATCCCTCCCACATTGGGATGCACCCCAGGCCCTTGCGGTCCCCTGGGAATGACAGGAGGACAAACAGCCAGGACAGGGGGCACTGGGAGCACCCGGCCTGAAGGCAACGGGGGTGTCCCAGCGTGGGAAACCATCCCCCTGTGGAAGGGGATGAGTCCAGGATGGGGTGCACTACAGGGCACATAGGAAAGCAGGGTGCAGCACCCATGGGTGGCCCCCTTAGGGAGCCCATATGGGTCAAAACCCCCTTATTTCTTTAAAAGCTTCTTGTTCCATATGTAAAATCCTCGTTTTTCCCTTTTCCCCCCCAAAACCCCTCCTCCTTTAGGATAAAGCCAAACACCCCCAAATCCCCCCCTCCATCACCCTTCCCTCCCGCTGCTCCCTCCGCGCCCGGCAGGGGGCGCTACCGGAGGCAAGGGCGGGGCTAAGTGCTGGGAGGATGGGCGGAGCTTCGGCGCGTGACGTCACGGAAAAGGGGCGGGGCGAATCGGAGCAGTGCGCCCGCGGGTTCATTCATAAAGAGCCGGAGGGGAGCGTGGTCGGGGGCAGGTAAGGGGCAATTTTGGGGCTCCCCTTTGGTACTGGGGGCTCATCCATACGGGGTCACCCCCTTTAATGGGTTAAATACCCCTTGGGGGGGTGGTTTGGGGGTGCTGCAGCTTCGGGCTGTGTAAAGGGGGGTGTTTTTGGGGTGCGTTTGCAATGGGGGGGATATTCCTTGACCTTATCCTTAAGGAGATATGGGGGGAGCATCGCCTGAAGTGGGATGCGGTGATTGGGACCCCCCCCCACACCCCCCGGTGCTGGCTCCGGCTGCCGCAGCGCGAATGTGGGTTAGGATAAAGGGTGGGGAAGGGGAGAAGTAGGTTAAGGGAAAACTCCGCATCCGCTGCCTGGAAAACGGGATGGAAAATCCCAGCCAAGCCCCTGCAGCGGGGCGGGATGCCGCGGTGAGGGGCTGCCCCCCAGAGCGGGGCCGGGGGATGCTGCTGCCTGGGCTCAGCGCCGTAGCGATGCTCCTGCTCTCGTTTGCCTTTAAGGCTGCGTTTCTGTGAGGGTTTCGTTGTCCCGATGGGGGCCGGGGGGGATGCGATAGCGCTGGGTTTACCGGATAATCCCCCCCACACACACTCCTTGTCCCACGCTGCCTCCAAGAGCCGTTCCCAAAGTGTTCCCGAGCGGCTGCTCCCTTTTTAGCCCCTTTATCTGCAGGAGCCAGCGGCTGAAACCCGGCTCCCCCATGGGGAGGGGAAGCCCTCGCTGGAATCCCAATGGGCAGCTTTGGGTTACAGGCTCTATTAGGGGCGGGCTGGGAATAAAAGGCTTACGTGATCCAGTGGGAACGGGGGGAATTCCAGACCCAGGTTGCCTTCCCCGGTGTGTTTGCATTGATGCAAGTGGGGTTTGGAGCTGGTGGAGGTTGGGGTGGCCCCAAAGAGCAGCCACTGGTGGGGTTATTTTTGGTTCCTTCTGGCTCTTGGCAAGTCAATTGCGCTGGGTTTAGTTTTCCTAAAACTAGCTTCAGGTGGGGTGCTGAGCATCCCACCACGCAGGGGGTGGGTTTGTGCCTGCATCCCCCATCCCCAACTGCGGTGACTCCGAGCTGCTCCCCCTAAAGCTCTATTGACAACCAGGACCTGGAGCTCCCTGGTCCTGGGACCTCCTGCATCCCCATGGCAGGGTCTTGGTCATCCAAGGGATGTTCTTAATCCTTAGGTATTAAGCTTGGCCTCAGACCTGCTTTACCTGGGGCCAGCGCTGTTCCTGGTGGGGTTTAAACCCATTTGTCTTGAAGCGGAGAGCCAGGATGGGGCTTGGAGCAAGCTGCTCCTGTGGAAGTGTCCCTACCCATGGCAGGGCGTTGGGACTGGATGAGATTTAAGGTCCCTCCCAACCCAAACCACTCTGGGGTTCTGTGATACGGGCTCTGCTGGCCCATGGCATCACTTACCCACAGCTCATGGTCCCTTGGGCACAGTGGGACCTGCTCATCCCCTTCCAAAGCCATTGCTGCTCCTTTCCTGGCACAGCAGCATCCCAAACATCTCAGGGTGTCCCTGAGGTGATGCTATTAAGCAGTCAAATCCTAAACCCCCCCCCCAAGGATTAATAAACTTGATGTTAGGCTTAAACCTTAAGCTCAGGTTTGAGTAGTGCTGGTTTACAGGGTGGAGGCTTTGCCCCAGTTTTGTCCTCCCTCCACAATCAAGGGGCGCATCCCAAAGTGTCCCCATGGAATGCCATTGCACTGGGATGAGGCTCAGTGGGGAGGTGGCACATGATGGGGTGATGGTGGTAGCGGACTCAGCCCCCCCCCAAAATCACAGGGTCCCAGCTTGGCATAGATGTTGCTGGTGCAGATAGGGCTTGGTGGCTCTTAGCTTGGCGATGCAGCTCCCAGGAGGGCTCCATGCTCCCTTACTGGGCGCTACTGGGAGGACCTGGAGCCCAGAGGATGCTCATTCCGGGCTGAGCCATCGCATCCCAACCCATGTCCTGTCATTGCCCAGCTCTGCCCCATTCCCCCGCAGCGTGCCCCCCTGCCGTGGGTCATTGGCTGCATCTCCCATGGGTGATGCCAAGCAGTGATTAGGAGCAGCAGAGGCTGTAACGAGGCTCTGCGGTGCTCACAGGACCGTGACAACCGGGGCAGTTTCCATGCGGGCTCAGAGGCTGGATCCGCCTTTGGGATGTTGCTGACTCCTTCCCTTCCCTTCCCTTCCCTTCCCTTCCCTTCCCTTCCCTTCCCTTCCCTTCCCTTCCCTTCCCTTCCCTTCCCATCCCGGTGCTGTCCGCACGGATTGATTCAACCACTCGTTAAGGAAGGGGGGGATGAGCCTGTGGGAACCACGTTTCATCGCACTTGATTTTAATACTTCTTATTCAAGGACTTCGTTTCCTTGTGGCAGGGGCACAAAAGCCACCTCCAGAGCAGGAAAACCTTCGTTTAAAGGTGTTCAGCCTCCCTTGCCCCTTGTATGGTTCCCTTGTAGGGTTGGTCCCTCTCCGTTTCACATGGAGTTGGGGTCTGCAAGGGAAGGAGATGATGCTGAGCATCCCATAAATCCTCTAACAAAGCTTTCTGGGGGTGGTGGAAGGTCGCTGCTGCGGGGGTATCCAGGCAGATGCCCTGGAGCATCCCAGTGGAGGGGAACAGGGATCCACAAGCTGCTTCCCCACTGGGATGGTGACCCTGGTGCTTCCCCCTCCCTCCCCGGGCAGGTCTCCCCTGGTGATGAAGAGGAACGGGATGTGCTGGTGGCTTGTCACTGTCCTGGGGGTGAGTACGGCCTCATCCATCCCATCCCATCCCATCCTCCTGCATCCCTCCTTCTGCCTCCTGTGATGCCAGAGCCCCGTCCAGCATCACCACCCCACGGCCACAATAGGGCAACCCAATACAATTCCCACCTGGAAGCTTGCAGCAGCCCAGCCCTGGGGAGATGCTGGGTTTGGGTTGAGGTTCCCCCTTTGCCTCCCACATTCTTCCTCCTCCTTTTCTCCCTTCTGCTGAGGCTTCTGTTTGGGAATGTGGCTTCTCCCTCGCTGCTCCTTCTGGGACCATCGGGTTGTCCCGTGTCCCATGAGATGCTCTTGGGATGGGCCACAGAGGTACCTCAGGAGCTGGGGCTGCTCCTTGGGGTGCCTTGGCCTGAGCAAGGGTCGTGATGGGTTTTACCAGCCACAGTCAGTTCATCAGCACCATGTCACTGGTGATGGGTTCGCATCCATCATGGTCTGTGTGATGGGGTGGCATCCATCAGGTTGCTGGCGATGCGCGTGCATGCAATGGGACTGCATCTCTCACAACCCTTGTGACAGGTTGGGGTCACCGTGGTGCATGCAGTGCCTTGGGATCCATCATGTCGCTGGTGATGGTTTGCGTCCATCGTGTCAGTAGTGGTGGGTTTGCATCCACCACGATGCACGCAATGGGTTTGTATCCATCACATCACTTTTGGACAAGGGCCTGTAGGGCCAGGCCAAGGGGAATGGCTTTAACCTGCCCGAGGGGAGACTGAGCTGAGCTCTTAGGCAGAAGCTCTTCCCTGTGAGGGTGCTGAGGCGCTGGCACAGGGTGCCCAGAGAAGCTGTGGCTGCCCCATCCCTGGCAGTGTTCAAGGCCAGGTTGGACACAGGGGCTTGGAGCAAGCTGCTCTAGTGGAAGGGGTCCCTGCCCATGGCAGGGGGTTGGAGCTGGAGGAGCTTTACGGTCCCTTCAACCCAACCCAGGCCGGGATTCTGTGATTCCATGCTAATCCCCCCGGTCCGTGCCCTGGGTTTGCACCCATCCCATCACCTCCCCTGCATCCCCACCAGCGCAGCTCTGGCAGCAGCAGGATTCCCACAGCACCTGGCGCTGAGCACTTCTCTTTGCTTCTCCTGCAGGTGCTGAGCAGCCCCGGTGCAGGGGCCGGGAGCTGCGGTCCCCGGGGGCACGGGACACCAGGATGCGCCCCCGGAGAGGAGCCCACTGGGGTAAGACACGGTGCATGCAGCCCGGGTGGAAGGTGCTGGATCCGTCCACCCATCGCTCACCTCCCTCTCCCTCCGTGCAGGAATGTGGCTCAGTGGGGAGGTGCCGAGCTTGTCCCCCCGGCACCTTCTCACGGGGGGACACATCCTGCTCCGCTCACACCCACTGCCGGGATGGGAACAGGATCCTGGTGGCTCCGGGCACCGCGGGCACCGACAGCCGATGCGGATCCTGCCTCCCGGGGTGAGCCCTGCCAGGGGATGCTGCAGCCCCACAGCCCCGGTGCCGCTCGTGGGCCACATCCTGACCCTCCCATCCCACCCCGCAGGTTTTACAGCCCTGAAGGGGAGAAGGAGCCCCGGGGCCGGTGCCTGCCCTGCGCCAGCGCTCCCCGCAGCACCCCGGGGTGCCGAGGTGGGTGCTGATAGAGCAGGGATGCTGGGACGTCTCCACTCCTCACACGAGTGGTTTCTGCTTCCCTCAAGGCAGCAGAGCTCTTGGGAAAAGGGGATTCCATCCCAACAAAGTTCTCCCTGAGGCTGACCCAGTGCTTTCCATCCCCAGGCCGGCGGCGAGTCCGCAGCCCTGAAGCCCTGGAGCAGCCGGTGGGGACCAACGGGACATGGGTGGCTCTGAGGGGTGAGGAAGAGGAGGAGGAGGCAGCAGCAGCACAGGCGGCCGTGCTGACCATCGTCCCGGTCTTCTGTGCCATGGGGCTGCTGGGCATCCTGGTCTGCAACCTGCTGAAGAGGAAGGGTTACTACTGCACCACCAGCAAGGAGCCCCAGCCCGGAGCCACCGGTGAGCCCTGGATGTGCTGCATCCATCATCCCCCATCCATCCTCCCGCATCCATCCTCCCGCATCCATCATCCCGCATCCATCATCCCCCATCCGTCATCCCACATCCATCCTCCCGCATCCATCATCCCCCATCCGTCATCCCGCATCCATCCTCCCGTATCCATCCTCCCACATCCATCATCCCCCATCCATCCTCCCGCATCCATCATCCCGCATCCATCATCCCGCATCCATCATCCCGCATCCATCATCCCCCATCCGTCATCCCACATCCATCCTCCCGCATCCATCATCCCCCATCCGTCATCCCCCATCCGTCATCCCCCATCCATCCTCCCGTATCCATCATCCCGCATCCATCATCCCGCATCCATCATCCCACATCCATCATCCCGCATCCATCATCCCGCATCCATCATCCCGCATCCATCATCCCCCATCCATCATCCCACATCCATCATCCCCCATCCATCATTCCGCATCCATCCTCCCGCATCCATCATCCCCATCCCCCCCACCATCATCCGTCATCCCCCATCCCATCCCCCATCCATCATCCCGTATCCATCATCCCGCATCCATCATCCCGCATCCATCATCCCACATCCCGCATCCATCATCCTGCATCCATCATCCCGCATCCATCATCCCGCATCCATCATCCCCCATCCATCATCCCACATCCATCCTCCCCCATCCGTCATCCTGCATCCATCATCCCCCATCCATCATCCCGCATCCATCATCCCGCATCCATCATCCCGCATCCATCATCCCGCATCCATCATCCCGCACCATCATCCCGCATCCATCATCCCCCATCCATCATCCCGCATCCATCGTCCATCATCCTGCATCCATCATCCCACAACACCATCATCCCGCATCCATCCTCTCGCATCCATCATCCCCCATCCATCATCCCGCACCATCATCCCACATCCATCATCCCGCATCCATCATCCCACACCATCATCCCGCATCCATCACCCCGCATCCATCATCCCCCATCCATCATCCCGCATCCATCATCCCCCATCCATCATCCCGCACCATCATCCCGCATCCATCATCCCGCATCCATCATCCCGCATCCATCATCCCGCACCATCATCCCGCACCATCATCCCGCATCCATCATCCCCCATCCATCATCCCGCATCCATCATCCCGCACCATCATCCCGCATCCATCATCCCACATCCATCATCCCGCATCCATCATCCCGCATCCATCATCCCGCATCCATCATCCCCCATCCGTCATCCCCCATCCATCATCCCCCATCCATCATCCCCCATCCATCATCCCCCATCCATCATCATCCCCCATCCACCATCATCCCCCATCCATCATCCCGCACCATCATCCCGCATCCATCATCCCACACCATCATCCCGCATCCATCATCCCACACCATCATCCCGCATCCATCATCCCGCATCCATCATCCCGCACCATCATCCCACACCATCATCCCACACCATCATCCCGCATCCATCATCCCGCACCATCATCCCACACCATCATCCCGCATCCATCATCCCGCATCCATCATCCCGCATCCATCATCCCGCATCCATCATCCCGCACCATCATCTCCCATCCATCCTCCCGCATCCATCATCCCACACCATCATCCCGCATCCATCCTCCCGCATCCATCATCCCACATCCATCTCCTCTCGTCCAACCCATCCCCATGGCTTCTGGTCCTCCCTGACCCAGAGCATCCTCTTCATCCATGGTGGGGTTCATCCCCCAGTCACTGAAGCCCTCCCTTACTTCTACCTCCAGGTCCCAGCTCCATCTACCCGCTGGAGGATGCCAATGAGGACACCATCGGGGTGCTGGTGCGGTTGATCACTGAGAAGAAAGGTCGGGGGGGGGTTCCTGGGTAGGGGGTGACAAGGTTTGGACCCCCCCATGACCCCCTTTTGGTGTCCCCCCCCATAGAAAACGCTGCAGCGCTGGAGGAGCTGCTGAAGGAGCATCACAGCCAACAGCCACCGGGCTGCGCCCCCCCAGATAAGTAAGGACCCCCCCAAAGCTGCACCGAGGACCCCCCATGGTAGGAGCAACCCCCCCCCCCCCCGCTGATGCCGTCTCCCCCTCGTCCCCAGGCTGCACCTCCTGCCTCAGTTTCCCCCCTCCTGCCAGCACCAGCAGCACCTCCACACAGTGCAGGGCCCAGCCCCGTGCGCCCGCTGCAGCCAGAAGTGGCCCGAGGTGCTGCCACCGCTCAGTGCCACCCAGGGCCCCAAACCCGGGGGTCGGCCCACTGAGGTCACCATCCTCTCTGTGGGCAGGTGAGTGGGGACCCCCCCCCCCCCCATCATGGGTACCCCCCTCTCTGCAGGGTGGGGACAAGCTGATGCAGTGCCCCCCAACAGGTTCCGCGTGTCCCGCATCCCGGAGATGAGGAGTGATGCAGGGGGTGAAACCCACCATGGACCCCTGCCCACCGGGGGTGGGATGTGGTTGAGGAGCACCGATGGCCCCCCCAAGGTAAGGGGTGGTGGGGGGGAGCCTCTGAGTGTCCATCATGGGGGAAACTGGGGCTGCAGGAAGCCGGAGGGGAGAGCGTTAACTCTGAAGCCTCCTGAGGGCATCCGGTGATGGCCAGGATGGAGCAGCCCAACGCCCCTGAGCCTGTGCCAGCAGCTGGGAGGCTGCTTCTAAATGGGGTTTTGGTGAGCTCCCCCCTTCATCCCACCCCCTGTACCTAAGGGGTGGGTGCTGGTGCAAAGAGGTGGTTCTGCTTTCATACACCCACCCCATCCCCTGCACACCTATAGCATGCGAAAAGCATTTATGGCCGAACACCCCATAGAGCACATTTACATGCGTTTACATGTGTAAATGTGCACTCATGCACGCACCAAAGCTTACATGTAGGTGCACGTGCGCTCATACGTGTGCATGCACCTATAGCCATGCACAGAGCGGGGGTCACACACTGCAGGGTGCTGGGGTGGCTGTGGGGCTGCAGTGTGATCCAGGGGCACACGTGTCCTCACACACGCACATACAACCCCCTGCACGTGGGCTGCAGCCACACGTGTCTGCATGGAAACACGTATGTGTGAGCATGTAGATGTGCACGCACACACAGGGATGCGCACGCATCACTGCACAGGCACGGAGTGAGATGTGCATATGGAAATCCGCCTCTGCACATCTACATACGTGTGTGCACATGTATGTACAGTCACATATGTGACTGATGTTGTACATGCATGCGAACACACACCTGGAGCTCTCCAAGCGTGTCTTCACATGCACACACACAGAGATGTGCCCAGATGGGCTTGTTCACATGAGCACATGCATAAATGCACATGCAAACCCACATGCAGTGATGTACATGCACATGCATGTATGCAGTTGCACACACATGGATGCAGTCACACACATGGATGCAGTCACACATGTATGGATGCAGTCGCACACACATGTATGCAGTCACACACACATGTATGCAGTCACACATGTATGGATGCAGTCGCACACACATGTATGCAGTCACACACACATGTATGCAGTCACACACATGTATGCAGTCACACACATGTATGCAGTCACACACATGTATGCAGTCACACACACATATGCAGTCACACACATGTATGCAGTCACACACATGTATGCAGTCGCACACGCATGCAGTCGCACACACATGCATGCAGACACATGTATGCAATCACACACATGTATGCAGTCACACACATGTATGCAGTCACACACACATGTATGCAGTCACACACATGTATGCAGTCGCACACACATGTATGCAGTCACACACATGTATGCAGTCGCACACGCATGCAGTCGCACACACATGCATGCAGTCGCACACACATGCATGCAGACACATGTATGCAGTCACACACATGTATGCAGTCACACACATGTATGCAGTCGCACACGCATGCAGTCGCACACGCATGCAGTCGCACACACATGCATGCAGACACATGTATGCAATCACACACATGTATGCAGTCACACACATGTATGCAGTCACACACATGTATGCAGTCACATAGCATCAATGCAACCCCCCTGTGCGCACACACACGTGTGCACACGTTCAGTCACGCACACACACGTGTGCACATGTTCAGTCACACACGCACACATGTGTGCACACGTTCAGTCACACACACACACGTGTGCACACGTTCAGTCACGCACACACACACGTGTGCACATGTTCAGTCACACATGCAGACACACACGTGCGCACACGTTCAGTCACGCACACACACACGTGTGCACACGTTCAGTCACACACACACGTGTGCACACGTTCAGTCACACATGCACACACACACGTGTGCACACGTTCAGTCACACACACACACGTGTGCACACGTTCAGTCACACATGCACACACACACGTGTGCACACGTTCAGTCACACATGCACACACACACGTGCGCACACGTTCAGTCACACATGCACACACACACGTGTGCACACGTTCAGTCACACATGCACACACACACGTGTGCACACGTTCAGTCATGCACACACACATGTGTGCACACGTTCAGTCACACATGCACACACACACGTGTGCACACGTTCAGTCACACATGCACACACACACGTGTGCACACGTTCAGTCACACATGCACACACACACGTGTGCACACGTTCAGTCACACACACACACACGTGCGCACACGTTCAGTCACACATGCACACACACACACGTGTGCACACGTTCAGTCACACACACACACACACACGGGTGCACACGTTCAGTCACGCACACACACGTGTGCACACGTTCAGTCACGCACACACACACACGTTGCACACGTTCACACACATGCACACACACACGTGTGCACACGTTCAGTCACACACACACACGTGCACACACACACACACAGACACACGTGTGCACACGTTCAGTCACACATGCGCACACACACGTGTGCACACGTTCAGTCACGCACACACACACGTGTGCACACGTTCAGTCACACATGCACACACACACGTGTGCACACGTTCAGTCACGCACACACACGTGCGCACACGTTCAGTCACACATGCACACACACACGTGTGCACACGTTCAGTCACACACACACACGTGTGCACACGTTCAGTCACGCACACATGCACACACACACTTGTGCACACGTTCAGTCACACATGCACACACACACACGTGTGCACACGTTCAGTCACACATGCACACACACACGTGTGCACACGTTCAGTCACACACACACACGTGTGCACACGTTCAGTCACACATGCACACACACACGGGTGCACACGTTCAGTCACACATGCACACACACACATGTGCACACGTTCAGTCACACATGCACACACACACGTGTGCACACGTTCAGTCACACATGCACACACACACTTGTGCACACGTTCAGTCACACACGCACACACACACGTGTGCACACGTTCAGTCACACATGCACACACACGTGTGCACACGTTCAGTCACACATGCACACACACACGTGTGCACACGTTCAGTCACGCACACACACACACGTGTGCACACGTTCAGTCACACATGCACACACACACGTGTGCACACGTTCAGTGCACACATTCACACACACACACACACGTGTGCACACGTTCAGTCACACACACACACGTGAGCACACGTTCAGTCACACATGCACACACACACGTGTGCACACGTTCAGTCACACATGCACACACACACGTGTGCACACGTTCAGTCACACATGCACACACACGTGTGCACACGTTCAGTCACACATGCACACACACGTGCGCACACGTTCAGTCACACACACACACGTGTGCACACGTTCAGTCACACACACACACACGTGCGCACACGTTCAGTCACACACACACGTGTGCACACGTTCAGTCACACACACACACGTGTGCACACGTTCAGTCACACACACACACGTGTGCACACGTTCAGTCACACATGCACACACGTGTGCACACGTTCAGCCACACATGCAGACACACGTGTGCACACGTTCAGTCACACATGCACACACGTGTGCACACGTTCAGTCACACATGCAAACACGTGTGCACACGTTCAGTCACACATGCACACACACACGTGTGCACACATTCAGTCACACACACACACACGTGTGCACAAGTTCAGTCACACACACACACACGTGTGCACACGTTCAGTGTGCACACGTTCAGTCACACATGCAGACACACACACGTGTGCACACGTTCAGTCACACACACACACACACGTGTGACATAGTGCTCACACACACACACACGTGTGGCATACTGCACACACACACACACACACGTGTGCACACGTTCAGTCACACATTCACACACACACGTGTGCACACGTTCAGCCACACATGCACACACACACGTGTGCACACGTTTAGTCACACATTCACACACACACGTGCGCACACGTGCAGACAAAAAACACACACGTGTGCACACGTTCAGTGCACACGTTCAGTCACACACACACCCACACGTGTGCACACGTTCAGTCACACATGCACACACACATGTGCACACGCACACATACACACATGTGCGCACACACACTTGCACAAGCACACATGTGCACACGTTCAGTCACACATGCACACACACACGTGTGCACACGTTCAGTCACACATGCACACACACACGTGTGCACACGATTCAGTCACACATGCACACACACACGTGTGCACACGTTCACACACATGCACACACACGTGCTCACACACACATGCTCACACACACGTGTGCACACGTTCAGTCACCCATGCACACACACACGTGTGCACACGTTCAGTCACGCACACACACACGTGTGCACACATTCAGTCACACATGCACACACACACGTGTGCACACGTTCAGTCACACATTCACACACACACGTGTGCACACGTTCAGTCACACACACACACACACGTGTGCACACGTTCAGTCACACATGCACACACACACGGGTGCACACGTTCAGTCACACATGCACACACACACATGTGCACACGTTCAGTCACACATGCACACACACACGTGTGCACACGTTCAGTCACACATGCACACACACACTTGTGCACACGTTCAGTCACACACGCACACACACACGTGTGCACACGTTCAGTCACACACGCACACACACACGTGTGCACACGTTCAGCCACACATGCACACACACACGTGTGCACACGTTCAGTCACACATGCACACACACACGTGCGCACACGTTCAGTCACACATGCACACACACACGTGTGCACACGTTCAGTCACACATGCACACACACACGTGTGCACACGTTCAGTCACACACACACACACACGTGTGCACACGTTCAGTCACACATGCACACACACGTGCGCACACGTTCAGTCACACACACACACGTGTGCACACGTTCAGTCACACACACACACACGTGCGCACACGTTCAGTCACACATGCACACACACACGTGCGCACACGTTCAGTCACACACGCACACACACACGTGTGCACACGTTCAGTCACACATGGACACACACATGTGCACACGTTCAGTCACACACACACGTGTGCACACGTTCAGTCACACATGCACACACACGTGTGCACACGTTCAGTCACACATGCACACACACACGTGTGCACACGTTCAGTCACACATGCACACACACGTGTGCACACATTCAGTCACACATGCACACACACACGTGTGCACACGTTCAGTCACACATGCACACACACGTGTGCACACATTCAGTCACACATGCACACACACACGTGTGCACACGTTCAGTCACACACACACGTGTGCACACGTTCAGTCACACACACACGTGTGCACACGTTCAGTCACCCATGCACACACACACGTGTGCACACGTTCAGTCACACATGCACACACACACGTGTGCACACGTTCAGTCACACACACACGTGTGCACACGTTCAGTCACACATGCACACACACGTGTGCACACGTTCAGTCACACATGCACACACACACGTGTGCACACGTTCAGTCACGCACACACACACATGTGCACACGTTCAGTCACACATGCACACACACGTGTGCACACGTTCAGTCACGCACACACACACGTGTGCACACGTTCAGTCACACACACACACGTGTGCACACGTTCAGTCACACACACACACGTGTGCACACGTTCAGTCACACACACACACGGGCGCACACGTTCAGTCACACACACGTGTGCACACGTTCAGTCACGCACACACGTGTGCACACGTTCAGTCACGCACACACACACACGTGCGCACACGTTCAGTCACACATGCACACACACACGTGTGCACACGTTCAGTCACACACACACACACACGTGTGCACACGTTCAGTCACACATGCACACACACACGTGCGCACACGTTCAGTCACACATGCAGACACACACGTGTGCACACGTTCAGTCACACATGCACACACACACGTGTGCACACGTTCAGTCACACATGCACACACACACGTGTGCACACGTTCAGTCACACATGCACACACACACGTGTGCACACGTTCAGTCACGCACACACACACGTGCGCACACGTTCAGTCACACATGCACACACACACGTGTGCACACGTTCAGTCACACATGCACACACACACGTGTGCACACGTTCAGCCACACATGCACACACACACGTGTGCACACGTTCAGCCACACATGCACACACACACGTGCACATGGAGCTCTGTAAGCGCACCCTGGACACTGTGTCCCCTCCAGCTCCTGTCACCCCACATTCCCCCCCCCACACACACATTTGGGGTCACCTTGACCCTGCTGAGCCCATGGCCAAGTCCTGCAGGGCCTCAGCATCCTTATGGGGAGGGGGGGGGAGCACTGGTGATGTGGGGACAACGTGGGTGGCAGCGACAGCCACCATGGATGTTGGTCTAGAGAGTGCCACAAGTGGCTCCGGCCACTTGGGTGATGCAGAGGCTCCAATCCAGCCTCATTCATGCTCCATCCCAGCTGGCACCAGGCCTGGGGGCTGCCTCGGGGGGACGGTGACACCCACAAAGACCCCACGGAGGGGACAGAGGATGCTGGGCACCGTGTGAAAGCCAGTCCTGTGTGGAGCCATGAAGTGCTGGAGGCGGCAGCGTGGCTTCTGCTCCTGCCACCAAGGTGTCCATGAGGAGCGTGGCAAACCCATCGTCTGACCCAGCTGGTGAGAAGGATTCCCTGTCCCCAAGGACTGGTGGTGGCCATGGCACGGTGGGCTGATGGAGAGCACCTCTTGGAGCTGCAACACCGGTGGTGGTGGTGGCCGTATCGTGGTCCCCTGATGGAGAGCATCTCTGGGAGCCATGATGCTGGTGATGGTGGCCACATCGTGGTCCCGTTACGGACAGCATCTCCTGGAGCTGCAGCACTGGTGGTGGTGGCCGTATCATGGTGAGCTGATGGAGAGCATCTCTGGGAGCCATTGATGCTGGTGATGGTGGCCACATCGTGGTCCCATTATGGACAGCATCTCCTGGAGCTGCAGCACTGGTGGTGGTGGCCATATCGTGGTCCCCTGATGGAGAGCATCTCTGGGAGCCATTGATGCTGGTGATGGTGGCCACATCGTGGTCCCGTTATGGACAGCATCTCCTGGAGCTGCAGCACTGGTGGTGGTGGCCATATCGTGGTCCCCTGACGGAGAGCATCTCTGGGAGCCATGATGCTGGTGATGGTGGCCACATCGTGGTCCCGTTATGGACAGCATCTCCTGGAGCTGCAGCACTGGTGGTGGTGGCCGTATCGTGGTCCCCTGACGGAGAGCATCTCTGGGAGCCATGATGCTGGTGATGGTGGCCACATCGTGGTCCCGTTATGGACAGCATCTCCTGGAGCTGCAGCACTGGTGGTGGTGGCCGTATCATGGTGAGCTGATGGAGAGCATCTCTGGGAGCCATTGATGCTGGTGATGGTGGCCACATCGTGGTCCCATTATGGACAGCATCTCCTGGAGCTGCAGCACCGGTGGTGGTGGCCATATCGTGGTCCCCTGATGGAGAGCATCTCTGGGAGCCATGATGCTGGTGATGGTGGCCACATCGTGGTCCCGTTATGGACAGCATCTCCTGGAGCTGCAGCACCGGTGGTGGTGGCCGTATCGTGGTCCCCTGACGGAAAGCATCTCTGGGAGCCATTGATGCTGGTGATGGTGGCCACATCGTGGTGCCCCTGATGGATAACATCTCTGGAAAGCCAGGATGCCAGAGCACAGCCCCATTGGAGACACCATGCAGTGGAGGATGTCGTGCAGCTGGGATGCCATGCCATGGTCACCTTGGTCTGTTGAACTGAAGCCTCTCCAGGAACACCACGAGCTCTTGATTTCCCTCCATCACGAGGTACCAGCACTCCACACTGCAGTCTAATGACAGTCTGTGGACCACGGAACAGCTCCCACCTTACAACAAGCCACCCAGGGCATGGGCTGACCTGGCCAAAAGCTGGTCTCCTGCATGGACATCTCTATCCAAGGTCTCAATCGACCCAGGAGATCCACTCTGCTCACCATGAAGCTCACACACTCCTCTTAGAGGACCACACTGACCTCTTCGATGGCCACGTTGGGCTCAGCAGAACGACCCACCCAAGGTTGAGTTGGTGACCACCAAGCTCCACAACCACCCTAGGAATGGGTTTATGGCTGCTCCCATTCACTTCACCCCCTCACCACCAAAAAAAAAACCAACCACAGCCCCCTCTTGGGCTCTTTTATTTATTTTTTATCTCTTTTTGTTTTTTGGAAACATGTTCATAGGTCTCCAATGTTCTACATCTTACAGGAAATATCAGACAGTTACAAACTTGGGGGGGGGGGGGGGAGATCACGACCTGATCTTCAGAACCAAAACCAGAACAAACCCCAAAACCAGGGAACTAAACCCAAATGGACACTCTCAGATGGACAAACCGAGGCTGGGGACGCAGGGAGGGGGCTCTCCAGGGCATCACTTCAAGGCCATGCTCCCTCCACACCTTTGAGACTTGGAAGACATGGTTACTCCTGGGTTTTGTCTTTATTTCTCTTACTTTTTGGTATTTATGGTATTTATTTTTTGCTTAAGAGGTCAAATACTATTTAAAAATGAGCTGGTTTGGGGGGGGGAATGGGATTAAAAACCTTATTCCATAGAAAGAAGGGTAAAACCCAACGTGGGTTTGCTCAGTGCTAGGGGAACGGGAGGCTTTGGGTGCTATCCTGCACCCCACTGGCTCAGTTCTGCTTCCTTCCCATGCTTCCCGACCTCTCTGATCCCAAACCTCCTTCACCCTGGGAAACCCCAGCTCCATCCCTTGCAGGGAGCTGCAGCGATGCTGCAGGTGGCTGTATTGCATCAAGAGGCTTTTCCCTACAAACAGCACAACTGAGTGTTTCCAACTGGGAATTGCTGCTGTTGAAGCACGGATTTTGCTATTCCTGCTTTGCCAACATCCCTGTACCAGGCTGTTTTGCCTGATGACAGGTAAATCCCTAAGTGCCACGGTGCAACATGCTGGGAAAACACCTTCTCCAAGCTCTCTTTCCTCTCAGGCTCCCTTTTTTCCCTATGGGAATGCTAGTGCATGGCAGAGAAACCATCTGGAGCTTGATCCTGCTGGCAGCCCAAAGGGCTGAGGACAAAGTGAAAGGAAGATGGGCAGAGGGTCACTGTGTTTTGGGGGTGATGGATGGAGGGCCTGGAAATACTGACAATTAATAAAAACTAACCCAAAAGCCCTGGATTTATGGATATCCAGCAGCTCTTATTGCTATTGTCGGCTGGTTGGGTTTCCCTATGGAAAATTATCCTTCAAATGTGGGTTCCCTCGAAATATCCTCAAATGTGTACCCCTCTAAGAAAGCCAACCCCCATTTCACACCCTCTGGACAAGGGACCACATCATCCCATATCCCTGCATCCACTGGGATGGAGGAGGGGAGGGAGAGGATGGCAAAGAGAGAGGGCTTCGGGAAGGACCCCATTCAATGGGATGCTGGTGGATGGGGAGGAAACGGATACCCTAAAACATGCATCCTTCAAACCAAGCCCTTCAATAACACTTCATGGTAAGTACATCCTGCAACTGCAAAAGCTGACCTGGGTTATTGTTATTCATTAAACACAAGAGCAAATGGTCACCTGGAGGGCTCAGCCCCTTGGAGGGGTGATGGATACAGGAGCTCACTCAGGTTGGGGGTCACCACCACTCTCAATTTGCCTTTTTCCCTCCCCACATCTTGGGTTACAGCTCGTGTTTTCAAGCAGAGATAATGGCAGGGATGGGTTCATGGCTGTAACAGTGGTTTCAGAGTGATTTTCCTTCCTCTTTAGCTGCAATATCAATCTCTGAGATACTTCAGAGGTTCCTAAGGATGGTTTAGCCCCTCCTGCTCCTCCTTGCTAATGCCCAGTGTGATCCTCCACCACAGGAAACCCTTTTGCTTAACTGACATCAGCAAAGCTTTGCTGGAGTGAAGTATCTGAGAAGCTGGTGGCCACCATCAGTGTTCCCCACACAGGAGTCCCCCACCAGGCTGCAACCTCCCCAGGACCTCCACTTAAGCCATGACTTGGCCAAGGAAAGGGCTTGGGATCATGGGCTTTCCTCTCATCATTCCATCTACCCAAACCCCAATATCCCTCCATGGGGAAGGGGACAGGGCTGCAGGTCACTGCTGGCATGAGCTGAGGGGCATCAAGCCCCACATCCCCATGCAGCAGCAGGGAGCATCTCACCACCATCATGGACCCATGAAGCCACCTTGGGAAGGAGCTACTCAAGCCTGGAGCCATGCGGTGGCCCTGGAGCCATGCAGTGTCCAAGCCTAAACCCACCACCAGTTTCCAAACGTGCTCACTAGAGCCTCTCACCTGACAGGCAGTGAATGCTTCACCTCTCCACACCCTGGTTGAGTTAATGGCCGTTTCTGCCTGGGCATAACAGGATGAGGAGCACCAGCTCTGCTGCTGCTCCAAGGGAAGGAGTTAAAACTAAACCACCCCTGTCACATCTCAGTAGTGGTAACACTGGGTGATCTTCCTGGAGCTTTCTACCCCACCTTTAGTGTTCTCTTTCCTTTCACCAGCAAGCCTGGCAGCTCCTTCCTGGCCATGGACCCAAGTATTGGCACTCATTCCTAAAGCAGCTAAGGGTGAAGGGTGCCTAGGTCTGCTGGGCAGGACCTCCTCTGTAGAACCTAGGCTGTGATAACACTGAACCCTGCAAGCCATAGTGCCATTACTCTGGCTGGAGCTTACTCTACCCTATGTGTTTCCATGCTGACAGACAGCTCCTAACACATAGCCCGAGGTCAACATGAGAGGAAAGAAGGGTATTGAGAGGTCTTCAAGTCCTGTGATCTACTGGGTGGTTTTCCACCCAGGTTTAACTGCTACAGACAGTGGAAGGGTGATGTAGGAACATTGGTTCCAAATGTCCTGGTGCTCTTTATGTGCTAATCCTTGCCTTGGCCAAGGTGAACCCTTAGGGTTTGTTTTTTTTTTGGGGGGGGGGTGTTCCTTCTCTTTTCCATTTATACAAACCCAAAGTGCAACCCAAAGTACCACACAGGAGAAATCCACCTTCCAACCCCACAGCACTGGTGGTCAGTCTTCCCCCACTCTGCTCCCCTCGAGGTTGGGAAGGTCAACCAGAGCTTTGCCAGATCTCCTTTAAAACCCCCATGACCAACTAAATGACTCCTATACAGAAGTGCTGCTTCCACCACCCAAGCTGACAAACCACCGGGGACCAACCAGTGGAAGGAGAAGTCCTCTTGGGTCCCTAAGCTTGTTCCTCCTCATTTGGACCGTGCTCATAGGAAGGAGCTCCATTAACTCCTCCCAATGGCAGCAGAAGCCAAGCTGGAGACACAACCAAGAGCAAGGTCTCACCCTGGTACCAACAATGGTCACGTTGCTCTTCTGAAAGCCCCTCCAGTCTGATCTCTGCACCACCATGTCCCAGTCAAGGTGACCCTCCAGTGCTGCTCTCCACTGCCTTCACCTCCACATGGAGATACGGCATACCCAAAGCAGAGCAACCAACAGACATCTGGGCACTGACTCAACACCATGCATGGGGCAGAAATCCATGACAGGCAATGCCAGGAGGGATTCCCACCCACACCTCCTAACCTGACTGCTTTAAAGGCTCTGGATTTGGTCCATTGTGACAACCTTGAAGCCCAAGAGATGCGAGCTGCGAACACACTGCTGGTGCACGTAACTCTTTTGGCACGCTTGAGGGAAAAACTCAAAACCCAACAGTGGTTTTGTCTTAGGAAACACAAAACAGAAGAAAAACCTTGTTTCTACACAGGGTTCAGGGATAAGGGCTTAAACATAAACTGGCCTCAAGTACCGTCTGCAAAACCTCTCTCTACTGCCCTCCATACAACTTATTGCTCCACTCGGATACCCCAAGGTGGGATGTCACTGGCCACACGTGGCCTCACATCTTCATGCCCTTGGGAAAGCCAAAACCCCCTGAACTTACCCCATTGCCCACAGCCTCCACGTGCCCATTGTATCCCAGCCTGGTCCCTGTCAACTGTGGATCACCTTCCGTGCTCTCGCCTTTCCTTGGGTGCCTTCCCATGAGGAAGGTGACGTGTTTATTGCTATTGCTTCCTCTTCCCCTCCGCTTCTCCCCACAGGCCAAGCAGAGCAGCTGCTCTCATCCCCCTCTCCTGCCTTTCTCTATGGTGCCAGGATTTGTGCTTGGATGAACATTTCTCCTGGAAGCCTCAGCTGTAACCCAAAGAATGAGGGGGGCACCTTGACTACCATGGAGGAATCACAGTTTGGTTTCAGCCCTGCCAATGACACAGGTGAAAGGTGAAGCCACCCGTCTTCCCCCTTGCCCTACCTCAAAGACTCTTCTCCATCAATCAGCTCTCCTCCTTTCCCACACTATGAGACTCTAGAGAAGCTCTTCAAACCAAGCCTTGGACCTGGAGAAGCTCTTCAAACCAAACCCTGGACCTGGAAAAGCTCTTCAAACCAAACCCTGGACCTGGAGAAGCTCTTCAAACCAAACCCTGGACCTGGAGAAGCTCTTCAAACCAAACCCTGGACCTGGAGAAGCTCTTCAAACCAAACCCTGGACCTGGAGAAGCTCTTCAAACCAAACCCTGGACCTGGAGAAGCTCTTCAAACCAAACCTTGGACCTGGAGAAGCTCTTCAAACCAAACCTTGGACCTGGAGAAGCTCTTCAAACCAAACCTTGGACCTGGAGAAGCTCTTCAAATGAAACCCTGGACCTGGAGAAGCTCTTCAAACCAAACCTTGGACCTGGAGAAGCTCTTCAGACCAACCCCTGGACCTGGAGAAGCTCTTCAAACCAAACCCTGGACCTGGAGAAGCTCTTCAAACCAAACCCTGGACCTGGAGAAGCTCTTTCAGACCAACCCTTGAACATCTCCTTGCTTCCTTCAACAGCCACCCAGCTCATCTCTGCCTGCAAACAGTAGCCACACAAGGAAGGAGCTGCCTTCTCCCTCACGCAGCCCCAGGACGTAGCCGATGGGGAGCACCCTATATACCCAAGAGGTGCAAGATGCTACCAGGGCACGTGTGTCTCTGCTGCTCTCTTCCCATCACACAAGATCCATTTGCCCAGTCGGAAAAAGCAGCCCAAAGACCTGATGGTGCCCATTCCTCATACTTCCTAAGACAAGTGTGTTACGTCGCTAATGATACTTATATTCTCTTAACTCCTACAAAAGAAGGGATGAGTTCAGAACTTCACTGCAGATAATGCATTTATAATCTATCACAACAGCTATCTGGAAGACACCAAGTTGCTTTTTTTTCTTGCAATATGTTATGGAAGATTAAATAATTTATATTCTTCAACTAAAAATACCCAAACCAAAATGGGAAGAAGAAGCCTGCCTACCAGCGCTGTGCTTTTCACGTAGTACCCTGAACATCAACCACTCTTACTAGCCAAAAGAAATCTAGGCTCTTGCCAACAACAACGACAACAGAAAGATCATGAAAAGAACCCAAAACGAACAAGAAGTGGGGGGATCTTTGCACCACTCAGCTGGGCAATGCTGGAAAAACAAAACAGTGGAATAGTCTGAGCTTTCCAATGATAGGACTCCAAAGAGAACTCGACTATTGCTCAGTGTCAGTACGTGTGTTACACAATGGATGTGGGGTGGGGAGGAGGAAAGGGGAGAGGAGAAAACAATAAAATAAAAGGGAGGCAGAAGATTAGAAAAAGCAGCTTTTACAAAACCACTAAAGAATGCATAAAGTGACCCTTGCACTTTTGTTGGTTTTCTTTTGTTCTTGCAAACAGACGAGGTGCTGCAGGACAGCGGCCACAGCACCGATGTAAGACTTGTGTAGTTGCATACAATGTTTGACTCTGGATCTGGAAGAGAGCAGAGATATCGCAAAGAAGGAGTTAGGAGCAAGTGGTGCACGGTAGGAAGGTTCTAAAGGGCAGCCTGGACAGGCTGGATAATTGGGCTGTGGCCAATAGGATGAGGTTCAACAAGGCAAAGTGCCGGGTCCTGCACTTGGGTCACAACAGCCCCATGCAAAGCTCCAGGTTTGGGAATTGTGGCTGGAAACTGCCCATGGAAAAGGAGCTGGGGGTGCTGATGGATGGAGCTGAACATGAGCAGCTTGTGCCCAGGCAGCCAGGGAGCCCCCAGCATCCTGGCCTGGATCAGCACCAGGGCGGCAGCAGGGCCAGGGCAGGGATTGTGCCCCTGCATTGGGCACTGGTGAGGCTGCACCTCGGATCCTGTGTTCAGCTCTGGGCCCCTCACTGCAAGAGAGACACTGAGGGGCTGGAGGGGGCCAGAGAAGGGCAGCGGAGCTGGTGCAGGGCCTGGAGCCCAAGTGTGATGGGGAAGGGCTGAGGGAGCTGGGGGGTTCAGTGTGGAGAAGAGAAGGCTCAGGGGGACCTGATGGCTGCCTACAAGTGCCTGAGAGGAGGATGGAGCCAGGAGGGGCTGGGCTCTGCTCCCAAGGAACAAGGGATGGGACAAGAGGAAGCGGCCTCAAGCTGCACCAGGGCAGGTTTAGATGGAGCTGAGGAACAATTCCTGCCCCAGAGGGTGCTCAGGCATTGGAACAGGCTGCCCAGGGCAGGGCTGCAGGCACCGGCCCTGCAAGGGTTCACACCCCATGGAGACGAGGCCTCAGTGCCATGGGGCAGTGGTGGCCTTGGCAGTGCTGGGATGAAGGTTGGACTGGGTGGGCTTAAAGGGCTTTTCCAACCTGGTAGACTCTGTGATTCTATGATCAGAGAGAGCTGTTCTCCTCTCCTCTGCACCCCTATCGCAGCACCCATAGCTGATGTACATGGGATTTAACCATTCTCGTGCCACTGAGTGCCCAATTTTTGGGCAGGGAGCTGAGGAAGCAGCAGCTCGGTGGTAGTATCCATTGCAGAGGATTAAAAATGTGCAGATGGGATCCTCTCTGCTAATTGCACAGTGATTTGTCATGGGAAGGATTAGCTCAGTGTAATGTATGCAGCAAGGAGAGATTTCAGATAGCCCCCAGGGCTGGTTGATCCTCGCTGCCTCCCCGTGCAGCATCATGTGTTCCCATCAGCTGTGTTCCCTGTTAATTGGGCATGAAGGACCAAGAGCTCCATCAACACAAGGAGGGTGTTTAAATGAGCAGCTGGGACTTTGGGGATCCTGAGCATGACAGGAACCTGCAGCTGGTTGCAGGCAGCTGCACACAAGGCCCATGATAACAAACAGGATGTTTTAGAAGGCTCCTTAAGGGGAGACCTGAGAGCAGCTCCAGTGCCTAAAGGGGCTGCAGGAAAGCTGGAGAGGGGCTTGGGACAAGGGCCTGTAGGGCCAGGCCAAGGGGAATGGCTTGAACCTGCCCGAGGGGAGACTGAGCTGAGCTCTTAGGCAGAAGCTCTTCCCTGTGAGGGTGCTGAGGCGCTGGCACAGGGTGCCCAGAGAAGCTGTGGCTGCCCCATCCCTGGCAGTGTTCAAGGCCAGGTTGGACACAGGGGCTTGGAGCAAGCTGCTCTAGTGAAAGGGGTCCCTGCCCGTGGCAGGGGTTGGAACTGGATGAGCTTTAAGGTCCCTTTAACCCAGACTGCTCTGGGATTCTATGTAAGGTCAAGGTACACTATGCTTTGCTAAAACCTTCGGTAGCCCCACGACAGAGCCCCATGCAGGTATCCCTAGTCGGGAGCAGTGCTAAAAGGCTCTTCTGTAGACAAAAGCATCACCTTGAGAAAGGGATTCAGCAGCTTTGCAGGCAGGAGAGAAGCAATAGCAGTGCTTGGTGGTTAATTAATCAAGAAGAGCAGAGCAAGGCCTGCCAAGGCAGCACTTACATGAATTGGCCAGTGGGTTTACCAGTGTGGAGGTACATAGCTGTAGGTGGGGGTTCCTTGAGCCCTGTACGTTGGCACGGAAACTGGATGTGCTCCGATGGCAGTGTGTTGTGGGGTGGTCAACAAGGTTCCTGCAATGGCATGGAGAAATATGTTAGGAGAGGTTAGACAAGATTAGGAACAAGTCCTGCCCCAAAGGGTGCTCAGGCTTTGGAACAGGCTGCCCAGGGCAGGGCTGCAGGCACCGGCCCTGCAAGTGTTCACACCTCATAGAGACGAGGCCTCAGTGCCATGGGGCAGTGGTGGGAATGGTTGGACTGGATGAGCTTGAAGGGTTTTTCCAACCTGGTTGATTCTGTGATTCTAAGGGGCACGCACAGCATCAGCTGCCTTTTTTCCCCTTCTTCAATTCCCTCAAATATTATCGGCATGTGAGACCTGAAGCAAAGGTGTTTTGAGTCGTGTGGTTGGTATCAGCCAACACCATGAACAGAATAAACCCACCTAAAGCTCCAGCACATTTTCCATGCTGGTTTTGGCCTCAACTCATCTTTTTCTAATTTCCCTTGTCCCTGAAGACTAGAAGTAGCCAGAAATCTGCTGATATCTTCCACCTGCTAAAGGCACTGGGCCCAGCTGCAACAGCAAACCACTGCAGTGTTCTCAAAGGACCAAACTGCATGGGATGAGGATTGTAAAAGGAGATGAGGAAAAGCCAAGAACGTCCAGGGAAAATACAGATGAGCTTTGCCATTCATCTCCCAAGGGCAGGGGAGCTCTTTTGCTTCATTTAAACCCCCCCCTGAGCTGAGAGCCCTGGGATGCAGCAGGAATGATCCGCCCCCAGCTGCAAAGCAGGGGAACTACCCCATGCACCCTCTTTTCTTTCAGTCTTCAGCTGATACACAGAGGGATTTCAGGTGGGAATTTGCACAGTGCCTTCAGCAGACGTGGGGAGGGAGGATACAGCCCTCAACTACTCTGCTCTGGGAGTAACGGGGTGCTTGAAACAACTTCTCAGTTCCTGGCTACTGCAAATGCTACTACAGAGAATTTAAAGCATCCCACGTGCATCTCCCCACTCTCAGTATAAGCAACAGTAAATGTCTGAGAGGTTCTTGTCAAACCCAGGCTGCAGTATCTCTGCTTGCAACAAGGGCTGTGGCCCATAACAAAGCCCTGTTTCACAGCTCATGCAGATGCAGAAGGATGAATGAGGTGTTTCTTGGCATAATTCAATATACAATCCTAGGGATTGTTAATGAGAAAACTACAGGCTTTGGGAAAAATAAACCCAGCCCATACCCTTACTTAATGTGCTGTCAATAAAAGCAATCCTGCACATAAACTCCAAAGGATTTGGGATGCAGAAACCAAGGTTAATGTTCATTTTGTCAAATGAAAGTAAGACCATTTAAGTGTCCTAAAAAAGGAACCCGAGGATAGAAATACAGTACTGAAGATGGACAAACCTGGTTATACCTCTGATTATGGAACAGATGGAGGAAGGATAATGTATTTAAGGATGCAAGAGTTCATGTCTCTAGAGTGAGCCAAACGCAAGGTCTCTCTGCTTACCTAAAAGCTGAGTTACATCTGTATCAGGAGCATTTTTGCCTGCAAAGGAGAGGTGGCAGCAAGCAGAACTAGCAACTTGCTGTGTTCAAAGTGCTTCTGGAGCCCCCGTCCAGATACACCCTGCAAGGCTGCAGGCGGCACAGAGAGCTCTTCATCCAGGATACACCTCTGGCACAGGTTGTTTGGACGCCTCCCAAACAAGAGATGAAACCGTGGCTCAGAACAAGGGGAGATTTGCCTTCTTACCTGCTGACATTGCCATGGTGGTCCCAGCGACCATGCCCATGGCCACACCGTTGGTCCTGGGCGCAGCGACCGGGGCCGGGTAGATGGCCGATGGGATGCTGTTGGGCTGAACCACGGTGGTGTGATGGATAACGTGAGGCTGTGCCGCGTACACTGGCTGGGTATAATAAGCTCCCTGTTGGAGAAGGGATAAAAACCACCATTGTCTTTGTCATTGGACTGACAGCACAAGCCAAAGCAGTGGCTTTGAAGGCCAGTACTCTATGGAGAGGCAAAGACCAGCTCTGTGTGCAGGGGGTGTCAGCTGGGCAGGGAGATACTGTAGGTCCTGCTATGGGGTGAGCAGCGATGCAGCACCACAGCCCCATATTTACCCCCTGGAGAGAAGGGACATAGGATATTCCCAAACCCAGCCTGTCCCCTGAGCCCAAAGTGGGGGTGACTGTCCTTCACCCTGAGACTTCAAGCGTTTAGCTCCTCTAAACCTGCTGCACAAGCAGTCTTAAACACAAGGCTCTTCATTTGGGTTGGGGCAACCCCCAGCACAAAAACAGGCTGGGGGAGACCGGGTGGAGCAGCCTGAGGAGAAGGACTTGGGGGTGTTGGGTGAGGAGCTGCTGTGAGGGCTGCAGCAGCTCTGCTCTGGAGCCAGGCTGAGAGAGCTGGGCTGGGGCAGCCTGGAGAAGAGAAGGCTCCTGAAGGGGAGACCTGAGAGCAGCTTCCAGTGCCTAAAGGGGCTGCAGGAAAGCTGGAGAGGGGCTTGGGACAAGGACCTGTAGGGCCAGGCCAAGGGGAATGGCTTTAACCTGCCCGAGGGGAGACTGAGCTGAGCTCTTAGGCAGAAGCTCTTCCCTGTGAGGGTGCTGAGGCGCTGGCACAGGGTGCCCAGAGAAGCTGTGGCTGCCCCATCCCTGGCAGTGTTCAAGGCCACGTTGGACACAGGGGCTTGGAGCAAGCTGCTCCAGTGGAAGGGGTCCCTGCCCGTGGCAGGGGTTGGAACTGGGTGAGCTTTAAGGTCCCTTCAACCCAAAGCAGTCTGTGAAGATTCTATAATGAAGACAAGCTGGTGTCACGCGTAGCTGCTGGAACACCATTTGAGCACTGCCAAAGGGCTGGTCCTTCCCATGAGGCAGCTCCTTCTGCCTGCAGACCTGGATAAGGAAGAATGAAACTGAACCTGAGGACATGTGGGGTGGTCTCTGGAATGCAGAGAGGCAATGGGAAGGGAGTGGAACACCATCCTGACCTGGAAAGTCAGGTCGTTGGGGGAAATGCCATGGAGGCTGTAGGGCCAGATACCCCTGAGGAGTTTGTGATCTTCAGTGGGAAGGGGGCACAGAGGTGGGTTTCAGAGGACAACTGCTCTAAACTACATCCCTGTGGAGGATCTTGGCCCCAGCACATAGCTGCAGGTGGTGGCAATGCAGGAGCAGAGAAGATGGCACTGGAAACCCATCCAGGTGCTGGGGGAGGAGCTGCCCTGGGAGGACACAAATCTGGGTCATGCCTGAAGTAGCCTGTGCTGGTGAAGGAGACACAAGGGTTTCCCAAGGGAGCTGGCAGGAGGGTGTTGCAAGTCAATGAGATGCCAACAGCCACCAGCAAACGGACCTTGGGATACCCCAGACTCATTTGTGGCCCTTGGGAAGAGCAACACTGAGCACTGGGGAAGGTGGGGAGAGGTGGGTGCAGGGACTACCCTGGAGCCATGGGGCCCCAGCATGTGGTTTTGGAGGAAGGGACCTGATTCCCAACCTCATTGAGACACTGTGTTGACTCCACTACACATCAACAACCATGTAAGACCATGTCTCATGCAGAGGATCCAATTGAGGAGTCAAGAGAGAGACCCCCAACATCCCAGAGACCCATCAAGCCCCACCGTGAGCACCTCCATCCCACCAGGACATGGGTGCTCAGCCCTGACAGCCAAAGATGAAGCCCTGTAGGAACCTCAGGCTGCATTTGCACGCTGTGGAGTGAGGTGATGGGTGAGGAGGCACCTACCTGGGTGTACAGGTTCTGCTGTGGATAGGCACTTCTGATGGGGTACATAGCGGTTTGGTACGGGTTCGGAGACGGCGAGTAGGGAGGAGGTGCGTTGTTACTCTGGGTCGGTGGGACCTTGTAGGGAGTCCCCGCAGTGTACCCTGCCAAAGAGAAGGGGAGTCCAAGTGAGGGTGAGGATTTCCAGCTGCAGAGCTGGCCCATGGAGAGAACACGAGCAGCCCAAGCTGCTGTTCATGACGCGCCGGTTGCTCGCCGGGCATCACTCAGCATGGAGGAGACAGCAAGCTGGATGAGCATCTTCTGATGTGCCATGAAACACACCAAGCTGAGACCTGAGTCCAGCATCCAGCCCCTGGCTAATCAATCACGGCAGCCAGGCCTACATTCCCTACCCAGCCCAGCTGTGGCTCTTCCCAAAACCAGTGGTCCAAACCCGTGCATTCAGCTCTGGGTCCCCCAACACAAGAGGGACGTGGAGCTGCTGGAGCGAGGCCAGAGGAGGCCATGGAGATGCTGCGAGGGCTGGAGCAGCTCTGCTCTGGAGCCAGGCTGAGAGAGCTGGGCTGGGGCAGCCTGGAGAAGAGAAGGCTCCTGAAGGGGAGACCTGAGAGCAGCTCCAGTGCCTAAAGGGGCTGCAGGAAACCCAGAGAGGGGCTTGGGACAAGGGCCTGTAGGGCCAGGCCAAGGGGAATGGCTTTAACCTGCCCGAGGGGAGACTGAGCTGAGCTCTTAGGCAGAAGCTCTTCCCTGTGAGGGTGCTGAGGCGCTGGCACAGGGTGCCCAGAGAAGCTGTGGCTGCCCCATCCCTGGCAGTGTTCAAGGGCAGGTTGGACACAGGGGCTTGGAGCAAGCTGCTCTAGTGGAAGGGGTCCCTGCCTGTGGCAGGGGTTGTTGCTGGAGGAGCTTTAAGGTCCATTCCAACCCAAGCCATTCCATGATTCTCTGATTAATATTTAGGTGAAAACAATGGATGCCTTTAAGTATTCCATGAAGGTGGATAGTTCTGAGCAATTTCCCATCCTGCAAAGGAGGACTGCAACCATCAGCTCACTCTCCAGGTTGGAGAGGCAACCCCAAGTGATGCTCAAGCATCTGTCCTGCTCCCCTCAGGCTATTTGCCTTAGCAACAAAAACAGCAAATCTGCTTTATTGCCATAAAGAAAAGCCATTTCTCTGCTCCATCAAAAGGCACCACAGGTTGCTGCCAAGCCAGGAGGAGCAGAGAGCCTCAGGAGGACAGTGGGGTGGCAGGCACAGGCAGCAGGACCAAAACTGATCACAGTATTCCAGGGGCAGCCTGACCAGTGACGAGCACAGTGGGACAATGACACCTTTATCCCTGTGGTGATGCCCTTGTTGATGTTCCCCAGCACCCTGGTGGGTTTCTTTGCTGCAGCCGCTCACTGTTCACTCCTATGGAGCTGGTTCCTCCATGTCCCTTTCCCAGAGCTGCTCCAGTCAGGCACATCCCAGCCTGAGCTGCTCCAGGATTGGGTTTGCCCAGGGGCAGGACCTGACACTTGTCCTGTTGAGCTCCATCAGGCTCTTCCCAGCCTGTCCAGCTCACCCTGCAGGGTGGCTTCCCCTTCCCAAGTGTCCACTTCCCCACTCAGTTTGGTGCCACTGGCAAACTTCATCAGGGAGCACTTGATCCCATCACCCACATCACTTATAAAGACACTGAGCAGTGTTGGGCCCAGTATCTACCCCACCAGTGACAGGTCCCCAGCTGGAAAAGGAACATGGGGCGTCAGAAGGTTCACCACCACCTTCGGGTAGTTCCCTACCCACCACACATAGCACTTGTCTAGACCATAAAGTAGTGGTTTCCCCAATCTAATCCTAATGTAACCCTCAAGAACACCTGAAGTTGTGCTTTAAGGGGTTTTCTTTTAGGGCAGACTAAAAGCTGAGCAGCTGCCATGGGATGCCTTAGGCTGCATCAAGTGTGCCACAAAGGCATCAAGGCGTTGGTCACAGCTTAACGAACAAGTAAAATAGGAATGGTAAGGAATCTGCTCACACAAGCAGGGAAGAACATGTACAATGGGATGGCTGCTGGGAAATGGTATCCAGCTCTTGCAGAGGACTGGGAGAAACCAACCTTAGAGCAAACAGGCTCCAAAGACCGTGTAGGATGGAGAGGAGAAGCCAAGGCTCAGCCCAGCAGTAAGATATCCAAGCACTCAAACATAATGAAGTGATTTACTCAAGCACTATTCAGGGCAGCGATTAATGAAGGCAAAGCCTGCAAGGCTGCTAATAGCCCACATTATCCGCCCAGCACTGCAAGGGCGTGAAGAAAACAAGCTTTCTAGGAACTCCCAAACAGCATCTCACCGCCTCCTGCTTGCTGCACATCCGATCCAATGTGTTAATTAAACAGCAGAAGAGCTGTGACCTTTTCTTCTGACTCACATTAGCAGGAGAGCAACTGTCTTTAAAGGAGAGATGGAACTGCAGGTTCTGAAGGGCTGCGTTCACCACAGAGACATCATGAGCTCCTCCAGGAACCCAACAACGTCACCTACAGAGCCACCAAGCTCCTGTTCAACTTTACCCGTTTTCTTCTCTTCTGAACTCCTTTCTTTAAGCAAAGACCTTGGATGCCAGCTCTCAGCATCACGCTTCATTTCTGATGGCTGTCTGGAGCTGTGGACCAGCTCAAGGCTGTGCAGTTTCAGCATCTGAACGTTAAGCCTTGATGTGGCTTCCCAATTGCTGAATCATGGACAATTTATCTATGATATCAAAAGGGTATTAAGCATAACAGCCCATGGAAGATGGAATCTGCCATGTTTTCCCAGACAGGTGGTGGATGCCCCATTCCTGGAAGCATTCAAGGTCAGGCTGGATGGAGCTTGGAGCAACGTGACCTACTTGAAGATATCCCTGATCACTGCAGGGGGATCTAGGGTTGGACTAAATGAGCTTTAAAGGTCCCTTCCAACCCAATGAATGGAATTCCATGATTCTCCTTGGAAAGGGACATCCCTACCGTCCACTGGGTTAGGGACGCTACCCCTCACATGGTGCACGAGCTTGGCATGACAGCTAATTTCATGCTAGATCAGATTTGACCAAGTTTTAAGTGTTTGGAAACTTTCAGCTTGGAATTAATAGAAACCTAGATACTATTTGGCAAAATTCCCTTGGAATTTAACCCATGCCTGGATGTGCTTTCTCCTCCCCACTGCACCTCCAGGCTGCTGCAGGGGACATTCCTCCTTCCAAATCAGAGAAGGCAAGAGCAGATACCATGGTAGAAACGGGTTTGGGGGCAAAATCTGGCTGTGGCCACCAGTGTGTGGTCACTGGGCAGCCCCATGCAGGCTGATCTCATTGCCAGAGAACTGGCTTGGGCACATTGAATTGGGAAATCAAATTTAAGACATAAAGCCCTGAGGTTTCAGAGACGCTTCACCCATCGCTGTGGTGGATCTCTGCTGGGAGATGCTGCCTCAAGCACAGGCTCTGAATAATCAGAAGCATTTCAGGTTGGGCGTCCCAAACTGGATCTGTCCTTTGGCTCCATCTCAGCACCCTCACAGGGAAGAGCTTCTGCCTTGTATCCAACCTGAACTTCCCTGTTTCAGTCTGAACCCATCACCCCTTGTCCTATCACTGCAGTCCCTGATGAAGAGTCCCTCCCCAGCATCCTTGCAGCCCCCTTCACACACTGGAAGCTGCTCTGAGGTCTCCACACAGCTTCTCTTCTCCAGGCTCAACAGCCCCAATGTTCTCAGCCTGGCTCCATACAGGAGCTGCTCCAGCCCATTAGAACCTAGGAGCAGTCCCACCTCGTGCTTGCAGCACGCCCCATGCCTCAGCTTTAACAGGCAACATGAGGGCAAGAGCAGGCAAGAGCAGTTGGGCAGGGGCCAGGGGACACCCCACATAGCAGGGGAAGCACCAGGGGCCTTATGTGGGAGCTTATCACCCCTCCTGGAGGCACTGTTGGGCCTCTTAGGGGATGAGATTACACGGCTTCAGCTGGAAAAGCCTGTTTAACCACGATCCATAAGCAGCATCTCCTCCCCCTGCCCCTGAGCAGCCAGCTTGAGTTAAAAGGTGGGAATTTCATCCTGGATTCCTTGAAAAACAGCCTGGAGTTTGGAATTCTCTGTTCTAAGGGAATAGGAAACAATCTCCCTTTGTTTTTATGCCATATACCGTTCTCCTCTACCACAGAGCATCACCACTGCAGTATACACCTGAAATCAAGCCCAGGTTGCTCCTGGGGACCAAACACTTGGCTGAAAGAGGCCTTCACCCTTCTCCATTTGACTTGTTCCTCTGAAGGAGCACTGGGAGGGCCGGTGCTCTCCTCTTCATGCTCCTTCATGGTTTGAACGCATGAATAAAGGATGCTACCTTGTTTTGAGTGGAAAAAAACACAACATTTCATCCCAGAAGGGAAGTGCAGCTCCGACTGGACATCTCAGGCAGAAGGTGACAGATCTGCTACACGGTGCAGAGCGAGCAACCCCAGGATGTGCAGCATCCTCACTGTGTCAGCACACAGGCAGGACACACAGACACAAACGATCCCATCCATTTCAAACAGGCTGATCCCAAATAACCCCATCCCAAAGTAATCCCCAAGAGGGGAGGGAAACGGGCACAAACCAACCAAGGAAAACCCCAGAAGAAAAGGTTTATTTACTGAATGCTGCAGAAGAAGCCTGGTAAGTTCTGTTCTCGGTGCCGGTGTCCACTGGGAGGTGGAAGGTGCCCTCCGTGGCACAGGAGGAGGAGGTCTGTGGCCAGGCTTGCTTCATCAGAAGTGTAGCTGGATGGAGACAGAGAAGAGGTGTCACACACAGCAATGAACAAACTTCCCATGCTTAGGGTCACATCTGGACCACTGTGCTGCTCTCTTCCTTTCCCCTCCCACCTTTCAAGGCCAAATATCCATAGGAATGTTGCACCATGGTTCCTCTTGTCCCACCTCATCCCCACGGAGGGATGGTTTGCAGCAAACCAGTTCCTTGGCTTCCTGAGCTAAGAGACCTGCATGAAGATCTACAACAGAGGGACACTGCTAGCAAAGCCACCAGCCCTCCCCAGCTACCACTGGTCGCCTCTGTGCATATGAACCAGTAACGGTTGTCCTTGCCCTTTCCCAGCTGGAAAACAGGCTGAGCCGGGTCTGCAAGGCATTTTACCCCCAGTAAGACCCTTTGAGATGCTTGCATGGCAGATGCCACCAGCGACCAAGGTACTGGTTGTTGTGACTGTCCCATCGCTTTGTCTGGTGGTCCTTAGAAAGCTTGGAAGGGACAGTGAGCAAAAGCAGTGGCTTTGGGAAGGCCGTCCTGTATCCCAGTTTATGGAAAGTAATTTATAAAGCCGAGTGTGATAACCCAGAAGAACATCAAGAGTCAAATCTTGTGGGATTTGAGACACAACCAGCAAAATTCAATGAACCAGCACTGGCTATACCCGTATAGAATCACAGAATCGTTAGGGTTGGAAAGGACCTTAAGATCATCCAGTTCCAACCTGCCTGCCGTGGGCAGGGACACCTTAACGCTAAATCATATCACCCAAGGCCTCGTCCAACCTGGTCTTGAACGCTGCCAGGGATGGAGCATTCACAACCTCCCTGGGCAACCCATTCCAGTGCCTCAGCACCCTCACAGGAAAGAACTTCTTCCTTAGATCCAATCTAAACTTCCCCTGTTTCAGTTTGAACCCATCACCCCTTGTCCTGTCACTGCAGTCCCTGATGAAGAGTCCCTCCCCAGCATCCTTGCAGCCCCCTTCACACACTGGAAGCTGCTCTGAGGTCTCCACGCAGCTTCTCTTCTCCAGGCTCAACAGCCCCAATGTTCTCAGCCTGGCTCCATACAGGAGGTGCTCCAGCCCCTGATCATCCTCATGGCCTCCTCTGGACTTGTTCCAACAGTTCCATGTCCTTTTTATGTTGAGGACACCAGAACTGCACACAATGCTCCAGGTGAGGTCTCACAAGAGCAGAGCAGAGGGGCAGGATCCCCTCCTTCGCCCTGCTGGTCACGCTCCTTTGGATGCAGCCCAGGATACGGTTGCTTTCTGGGCTGCGAGCGCACACTGGAGCCGGCTCATGTTCATTTTCTCATCAACCAACACCCCCAAGTCCCTCTCCTTGGGCTGCTCTGAATCTCTTCTCTGCCCAACCTGTAGCTGTGCCTGGGATTGCTCCGACCCAGGTGTAGGACCTTGCACTTGGCATGGTTAAACTCCATGAGGTTGGCATCAGCCCACCTCACAAGCGTGTCAAGGTCCCTCTGGATGGCATTCCTTCCCTCCAGGGTATCAACCGAACCACACAGCTCGGTGTCATCGGCAAACTTGCTGAGGGCGCACTCAATCCCACTGTCCATGGCAGCGACAAAGATGTTGAACAAGACCGGTCCCGACCCCGATCCCTGAGGGACCCCACTTGTTACTGGTCTCCAGCCGGACATTGAGCCATTGACCACAGCTCTTTGTGTGCGACCATCATACAACCATAGAACCATGGGACTTTAAAGCTCATCCAATTCCAGCCCCCTGCCATGGGCAGGGACATCTTCCACTAGAGCAGCTTGCTCCTTCCCGAAGTTGATGCCTCCAGGAAAGGTTTACCAGGTCTTTTTCTGCTTCTCTTTTTTGCTTCCCCCCTGAAAGTACGGATGTGCCCTAACTCCTTGTGCCAGGCTCACCTCAAAGAATGAACCATCCCTGGCTGAAATCCCACCACCTCCCAACGGAGCTCATCCATCTCCTGAAGGCCTCAGCCAGTTCTTACAGCTCACTGCTCGCCACAAGCTGCTCAGGACATGATGATAAAAGCTCCAGGTTTCCCATGTCCCACAGGATGTATTTCACACCCCCAGCTACCAAGGAAGGAAAACCCAAGTGAGGGTTGATGGATCCTCAACAAGGCACTTAGTGATCAGAGCTCGCTGTGAAGTTGTGGAGCCACCAGGTCAAAACAAAGGACCTTTGGGCAAGAAAGGGGAAACACAGGAATTCTGCAGGAAGGGAACCATTTCTGACAGCAGAACCAGCCAAGGTTAAAGCAGAAAGAGGAGCACTTTGGGAGAGACACCATGGCCTAAAGGAGGAGGCGGTGGGTTCCTTATCCTCCCACTGGCTCCATGAAGACTTCATAACTCCTTCTCCCAAGCACATTCCTACCCTGAGGAGGTCAGTGCTAAGCCCCAAAGAAGGGACTCTATGACTTGGTGAGGGCCTGCAAACCTTTCTGCATCCCAAAGGCAAGAGCGATGATGTTTCAAACCCCTCCGATAGCTCTGTGTCTGCTCAGACTCCTAAGCAACCCTCTCTGAAGATGACAGTGGAGTGCACAGGGCTGGAAGTAGGGGACAATTAATTGAGGAGGCCAAGGAGGAATCAGTGCTGGTGCTACAGCCCACGGCAACAGCAACACGGGTCCTAATGGTTGGACACCACACAGAGAGCAAAGAAGCACTGCTGTTGGTCCACCAAAACCTCATGAGCCCCCTCTCCTAATGTGGGACAGAAACAGAGGAGCATTGAGGACACCAGCAGTGATGTTTCCCTGGACAGCATGGCAACCATCCGCTGTGTGGAGATGGTCACGGGTGCAAGATCTGCCTGGATGATGCTCTGCTGCTTTCTCATCACCTCGAAGAGAAAACAAGAGGTTCTGGAGAGATTTAAAGCACAGTTTCTCCTCCATTCAAGCACTGATCACGTTCTGTTCCAAGCATGCGCCCTCTCCCAGAGGTTTGTGAGTTATTAAGGATTTCCAACCCACCTTCCTTAGTTTTCCATGGTACGCTGCACTCCTGAACATCACACTGGAGGATTAACTCCCAGCACTGAGACAGAACCACTCTTTCACTCAGGCTTTTCTTCAAGATCAGATTCATCTTTGCCTCTGCTTTTCACAAAGGTTTTAATATCCAGGACTGATGAGACAATTTATTTAGGTGTTATATGGATCCTTCCTCTGGGGTTCCTGCACATCAGAGCTACCAAAAAATCACAGCAATTTGGGCCTGAGATGGCCGGGAGCTTGCATTAAATCATGGATCCTTGGAGAATCCATCACTTAAAGCTACACAGAAGGTGAAGCAAGGAGGCTTTTAGGAACATTAACATCTCCTGGTCCTTAGCAAAAGTAACGATTCACAGAGGTTACAATGCAGCCATGACTATCTAATATCATAAATATCAGATTAACTGTGGACAGTTCTGGTGTCCTCAGCATAAGAAGGACATGGAGCAAGTCCTGAGGAGGCCACGAGGATGAGCAGGGGCTGGAGCAGCTCCTGTATGGAGCCAGGCTGAGAACATTGGGGCTGTTGAGCCTGGAGAAGAGAAGCTGTGTGGAGACCTCAGAGCAGCTTCCAGTGTGTGAAGGGGGCTACAAGGATGCTGGGGAGGGACTCTGCATCAGGGACTGCAGTGATAGGACAAGGGGTGATGGGTTCAAACTGAAACAGGGGAAGTTCAGGTTGGAGATAAGGCAGAAGCTCTTCCCTGTGAGGTGCTGAGGCGCTGGCACAGGGTGCCCAGAGAAGCTGTGGCTGCCCCATCCCTGGCAGTGTTCAAGGCCAGGTTGGACACAGGGGCTTGGAGCAAGCTGCTCTAGTGGAAGGGGTCCCTGCCCGGGGCAGGGGGCTGGAGCTGGAGGAGCTTTAAGGTCCCTTCAACCCAAACCAGGCTGGGATTCTATTTGTGATGGATACAGCCATGAGCCTCCTACAAGCTTTGCAATAAGCTTAATTCCCCAGGCAGATCCATTACTGTGTTCTTGAGTGCTTCAAACTGGTGGGACCGTTTGTTCTTAGAAAGCTTTTCAGGCTCTATGGGATGTTCACCCCCTCACACCTCAAGATACCCCCCTTAGGGGACCTACTGATGTCTCTAAACAGCCAATGGGCACCTATAGAGGACAGCTCAAAGCACTTATGTGGGGAAAGATGATGCCTACACTCTCCCCCTGCAGAACAACGTTTCCTCCAGGGAGGACCCAGAAGCAGGAATGGGGGTTTAGAGCCTCCATCCTGCCCCACACCATCCCCATGGACACCCCTAATTTCCTCGGGCTGATTTTAGCAACATCTATTCAGCTCTGTGAGGACAGTGGAGTGATGGACGAGAAGCATTTGTCTTCCCTGCATTATTAATAAACGCAGTTGAAGCACGAGCCAGCCCCCATGTGAGATGTGTGTGTCCTACTTTCAGGCAAAGAAAAAGGCTTATTTTTAATGAAGGAAGTTAAACCAGCTCAGGAAGACAGAATGCTTGGGAGGGAACATGCTCCAGGCTTAATGAACTTTTAAACTGGAATGCCTCGTGTTTCTGCAGCACTGATTTGAGGCACTCGTTTTTATATGCTCAAAAGGGATTGTGTTTCAATAACACTGGCCTAAATAAGCAGGCTCATTGCAAGCAGCTTTATGCAATGCTGGTGTTTTGCAGTGATCTTGGAGCTTCCCTTGTGTCTCTCCTGCTCAAAAATGTGGAGAAACACAAGAGGAGGACCACATGAGGGAGAAACGGGTTTCAATGTGGATGGGAAGAAGTTCATTCCCTTGCTTGACACAGGGATCCTTGGGCTGAGCTGTTATCTACACCTTGGGAATGGTCACTTTGAAATATCCTGGTGAAGAATTTACCATCCCTTTGGTGCTCAAACCTTAGCAGATATTCACCAGGTACCTGACACTGGATGATCTTCAGGTCCTTTCCAACCCAAACCATTCTGTGATTCTATGATTGTACGACACTGAGAACGGGAGGATTCAAGACTGGGTCCAGTTACCATCC